ATTCTATTCTATTCTATTCTATTCTATTCTATTCTATTCTATTCTATTCTATTCTATTCTATAAAAATGGTTAAAATTCTGAACTAAATAAATACATAGATTCAAATATTAATTTACCATCTGCAATGATTATGTAGAAAGTGGGCCAATCTTCCAGGGAAAAAAAGAAGACAAGATTAAAGGAAAGCTAATGTGAGGAGGATCAGTCTGGGAATGCTAAGTGGAGGGGTTGAAAGTAACCACCACTATCTGCATTTTGCTAAATGAATATTTTGTACTAGGCCATGTCCACCGTGATAACTGTTTTATGAGGGGACCTGTACTTTGTAGCTTAATCTCCTTTTTAATTTTTGCTTTGGCAGATGATCACAGATGGAAAAACTGATAGGCCATGTTGCCCCGCATGTTGCCATGGCAACATGAAATAGTGCTTTAGGTCTGCTAGCCATGAATGCTTGTCATCCTTCTCCAAGCTGATACATTAGGCTGCATTTTACAATTCTTCGCCAGAATGGATGTTGGTAATGTTGTTTAGGGGGATGAAAGGAAGGGACCACATTGGCAGGAAGACCATACCTTTAAATTTAGAATGATGTTTTCAAGCAGAACAAAAATTCTTCTCAAAAGAGGTAGGCAGAATCTCACAAAACAACGATGGAAGTAGAGAAATGTTTATGACAGGTATGCAGGACTGGAAATGAGATATTTCCTATAGCTTCTCTATAAATGAGAACTGACATTTACCTCTTGAAGTCTTTTTTTTAATTCCAAGAATGTGCCACATATCTCATTACTGCTTTAGATATGATCACTACCAGTAATAATACAATACTTCAGTCAATTAAACTGAGCTAGCCCTATGATTTACTGCATTCGATCCTTATGATGAGTGAAAGGACTTCAGCTTCTGAAAAGCAGCTTCTCACACGATTTGGTTGGTACACCATCAAAAATACAGTGAATAAGCTGAGAACACAATAAGTGACATTCAAGATTTTGTGAACATCTGATGCATCCTTCTCCAGTTAGGAAACACACAGGAGAGATATGAGTCATGCATTCAGCAGCTGTCAGCCCCAAAGGAAAGTGTTTAAATTGAAGTATTTATATTGTTACATAAACATATTATTTAATCTCTCATGCCATCTAAAAAACAAGCTTAAAAAGTAATAATAAGCATACTCATTTTTTTAGAAATACATGATTCTTCAGATCTCTGTTATGTAGGTAAACAAAACAAAAACAAAGCATTATATTCTGCATAAATAGCTCTTTAGCAGCAATTTAATGCTATTTAACTAGTTTTAATTCTCTTATTAACTGTTACTGACTTGATTTTATACTGATGATTCCTTAGTTCAGTGTTTTATATTTTATGTTTGTTTTCATTCTTGATTTGGACATTTTTGAGACATAACCTCTATTTCTGAAGGACTCCTGCTCTCATGCTTTAGCCACTGCCACTTTGCTGTGCCAAACTAGCCCAGTTAGAGTTTATTTTGTCTCTAGTGCTGTCCCTTAAATGGGTGGAAACAGAACCACTGCTCTCTGGCCATCCTTCTAGCAAGCTACTGAAAGAGGGGTCCTTGGTGCTTCTCTGAGCTTGTTTGTTTTCTTACAGACATTTCATATTGCGTTCTGAGAGGACTTGAGCAGAAGTTTTCACTCCAGTCCATGTTTCCAGCAAGAGCACGGACCATTCCTATTGGCTGATGTCATTTGGTAGCTGACTATAAAATGGAGCTGTCAAATGGTGTCAGCTGTTGCCCGCCAGCTGGCTGCCCTGTTACTGCGGCACTTGCGGCAACCCTTTATTGTTAAAATAAAGTTTAAGCTGAAGTTGCTTCTGCATTGCCTCTGTCATTCTGCCGCTCACACTACACTGGCGACAAGGGCGGGATATGTCTAAGAGGCAACTGAGCATAATTGCTGAGCGAGAGTCACTTAAAAAGAGCCCAAGCCACTACCAAGCTGAATGTCACTTTAAGAGCTGTTACTATTTGTGAGTGCGAATTTCAATTCTCCTCAGAAGAACCTGGCACTGCCTGAGATGTCTTCAACCCCTGTGTTCCCATCTTTCAGACCGACAGCAGAGACATGGGAATCTTACATAAATTGATTCGACTGCTTCCTAGACGCTATCGACTTCACTTATATTTCTTCCCACAGGAAAAAATCATACTTTTAAAGTTTTTGCGGAGCCACAGTGTTTGACACTGCTACTGCATTGCTGGCACCGCGATCAATTAAAACTGTTCCATGGGAGGAATTGCAGGAAATCCTATGTAACCATTATTCTCCTAAGCCCTCTCGTATTGCCAGGCATCATGCTTTTAGGAGACAGACCCAGGCTGAAGAAGAGATCTACTAAGGAGGGGATATATGGCAGCTTTAGGAACAGCTGCCTTACACTGTGGGTTTAGAGATTATCTTGAGGACATGTTATTAGATCAGCTAGTCTGTGGAGTCATGCACTTAAGGTTACAAAGGCACCTACTGGCCAAAGGAGATTTAACCCTTAAAATAGCAATAGAGGAATCCCAAGCTGCATAACTGTCAGCACTGTCAGCAGCAGAGATTCAGGGAAACCCTGTAAGCCAGAACAGCTCAGCCATTCATTATGATGAAGCCTCTACTGAGGAAGGCTCTGACGAAACTAGTGATGTAAATCGCCTCAGGCAGCCCATAACTAGTCAGATGGGAAACAGGTCTGTTCCCAATCAACTTCCACAATCTCAGCCCATCTGTCTAAGCTGTGGAGGAAATCACCTCAGGGCATTCTGCAAGTTCAGGAATGCCATTTGACTAAAATGCCAGAGAAAGGGTCATTTAGCCAGGATCTGTCAGGCAGGAAAGACTTTTGCCCAGCCACAGCAACCTCAGACAACTCAGCATTTTCAAAAACAAATTGAAGACTGTTTCGCCTGTTCCAAGCTAAACCAACAGATGAAGGCTCTAACAAAATCAGTGTTATTGTTTCTTTAGAAGGAAAGCCTTGTAAGATAGAAGTAGACACTGGCTCAGCACTCTCCATCATCTCGTGGAGCACCTTGAAACGACTATTTCCCTGGATGGCAAAGAAGAGGCTTCAAGACTGCAACCTAACCCTACATGACTACCAAGACAGAACCATCCCAGTCATCAGAAAAGGCAAGTTTTTCATTCATTTTCAAAATTTTAAGGGTCACTTGCCTTTGGTTGTAGTGGATGGTGCCCTCCCAAGCGTGTTCAGGTTAGACTGGTTCCCTGTACTTGGCCTTCATATAGGAGGAATCCACTCTATTGCCAATTCAGAGGTGGATGCCTTGTTTAAGGATTATGCTGATGTATTCAGCGATGGCCTAGGCTGTTATGTGGGAACCCCAATATCCTTCAATTTGGACCTTCTAGCAGTCCCAATCAGTTCGAAGCCTCAAAGAGTGCCATTTGCAATCTGCCCTAAGCTGGACAAGGAACTGGATAAATTAATTAACCAGGGAATATTGGAGCTTGTGGACTTTTCAAAATGGGAAACACCCATAGTGACACCCCTAAAAAAAGATGGCATCTTGAGGATTTGCACAGACTATAAATGTTCCATAAACAAATATTTGCATATTAGCGCATATCCAGTCCCAGTTATCCAGCACCTGCTGCATTCTTTTGAGCCAGGAACCATTTTCGCTAAACTAGACATGTCCCAAGCTTATCAACAGCTCCCTGTTGATGACACAGCCACTGAACTACAAACTATTGTAACTCACAGGGGCACTTTCAAGTGTAGGCACCTCCAGTTCAGAG